CAACCAAAAGGGTACCCCTTTCTTATCCCTTGCTTTCTCTGGGACTTTTCCTCGCTGCCCTTTACCCTTTACCCTTTACCCTTTACCCTAAACCCTAAACCCTAAACCCTAAACCCTCATTTCCAAACCCTAAACCCTACGGTGGTTCCTAGGAAAACCAACCCTTCTTCCGGCGCGGCCTCAATCTGCCAGCTGCGGATTCGGACCTCGAGCACCTCGCTCCAGGGTGAGGATGGGAGGGTTTAGGGTTTAGGGTTTAGGGTTTAGGGTTTAGGATTTAGGGTTTAGGGTTTAGGGTTTAGGGTTTAGGGTTCAGGGTTTAGGGTTTGGGGTTTAGGGTTTAGGGTTTAGGGTTTAATTAGGGTGTTTTTTGGGTTTAGCTTTTAGGGTTTTGGGTTTAGCGTTTAGGTTTGGAGTTTCGATTTGGAGTTATAGGGGTTTGGGGTCTAGGATTAAACCACGAACCCCAAACTGGTCTGCTGCTCTACGGCTGCGGGGTGGGCATTTGCAAGTGTTGTGGACGTGGAGGCGGGGTTCAGGGTTTTTTTGGCTTCGGTTTTGAAACTTGTGGGTGGGGATGTGTCGGGGGCATTGAGGCCTGAGGGGCCCACGGCGTCGAATCTCCGTGTTCAGGTTTCAGCTTATTTCTTCAGGCTGCACGCCCTCAAACCCTAGACCCTAAACCCTAAACTCTGCGATCTTGAGATTCTCCAGCAAACCTTTCACAGAGTCAGAGCCCTAAGCCCGGCATACGCTCTTCAAACCCTAAGCCCGGCATACGCTCTTCAAACCACACTTGAAGGACCTCAAGCCCTAAGCGTCCGAACTAAACCATTTCTGGTCTAGGGCTTAGGGTTAGTGTTTAGGGTTTAGGGTTTAGGATTTTAGGGTTTAGGGTTTAGGATTTAGGGTTCATTACACATGTGTATATATATATATATACATGCACTGACATACTCTAACCTTTATGACATACGGCCCTTAGAACAGGAAGAGGTATCCTTCCAATCTTGGGTTTCTCCCCTTGCGGGGCTCCCAGACCGAGGCAGTCTCCGCCCACACCCTCCGCCTCCAGCGCAGCGGAGCCGGTCAGCCATGCGCCGGCAGGACCTCGCTGCTTCGTAGCCCGCTAGGGTTTCGTAAACCCTATGAACCCTGTAAACACTATAAACCCTTGTAAACCCTACAAACCCTAATTATAAACCCTATCTATAAACCCTATAACTCCTATAATCCCTGTAAACTATAAACCCTCTAAACCCTAAACCCGGTTGAGGGTTTAGGGTTTCGGGTTTGGGGCCTGGGGTTTAGGTTTATAGGGTTCAGGGTTCAGGGTTTAGGATGGAAGCAGCATGTTGGTCTGGACCCTGCTCCATTAAATGAACGTTCAAGCTTGTTTGGGCCTTGGGCCCGAGTTGGCTTAGGGTTTATAGGGTTTGGGGTTTAGGGTTTAGGGTTTAGGGCTTCGGGTTTAGGGCTAAGACTTAAACCTTCTTTCCAGGGCCCTAAACCCTGGAGGATCTAGCAACCCAAGCCCTCAAGAACCCCCCCCCCCCCCCCCCCCCCCCCCCCCCCCCCCCGAATTTTGGACCCTGTTGTGTCGTTTGCGAAGACGAGGAGGCCTACCCTGATGTAGAAGAAGCGCAGAAAGGGTCTAGGGTTTAGGGTTTAGGTTTTAGTTTTAGGGTTTAGGGTTTCTGGTTCAGGGTTTAGGGTTCAGGGTTTAGGGTCTAAGGTTTAGGGTTTAGGGTTTATAGAAGTGCAGTTGTTTTTGGGTTTATAAGTCCCAGAAGCCCAACCCCAAACCCTTAAATCCCACCAGTGGTCCGGCAGGAGTGGTCGCGGCTTGGATGGCCCGGATCGAAGCTGCATGGCCCCAGGTCCCTTTTTTGGGGGGGTTTGGTTTAGGGTTTAGGGTTCAGGGTTTAGGGTTTAGGGTTTAGGGTTTAGGGGTTAGGGGTTAGGGGTTAGGGTTTAGGGTTTAGGGTTTAGGGTTTAGGGTTTAGGGTTTAGGGTTTGGGGTTTGGGGTTTAGGGTTTAGGGTTGGGGCGGGTGAAGTTGCCATTCACTTGCATGGAATTTTGGGACGCCAAGCGTTTGTACAGGGTTTGTGGTTTAAGTAGGGTTGCGGTTTTAGGGTTTAGGGTTTTGTTTTTGGGGTTTAGGGCGCGGGGTTTAGCTCCACCCCCAATAGCCCAACCGGCGAGAGCCGGGTTTGGTTTCAGGGCTTCGCGTTGTGTCTTCACAGGCTGGAGCCCTATCTGAAGAACCACCCGCTAAGCCTACAATCGAGATACTACAACCCTGAACTTAACCGAAAAAAAGCAATCTGGATACCAACCTAAACACCCTAAACTAATAGAAATATTTATAATAATAATAGAAATAATAATAATAATAATAAACCCCAACCCGAAACTATACCCTGTGGCGCTTTTGGGCATGATTGCTCTTACCTTCTTTCGGATTTCGGCCCAGAGCTTGTAAACCGAGTCGGTGAATTGACTAGACCCCAAGATAAGCCTTAGAGCCTAAACAAATTGAAGCCGTAAGCCCTAGACATCCAAAATCCCTATGCCCTAAGCCCCGAAATCCTAAACCCAAAACCCACAACTCCCACCCGAAAGCTCCACACCCGAAAGCTCGGCCCTAAACCCTACTTGGAGCTTCATGTTGGTACCTACAACTGGGGTTATATGTGAGGTAGCTACAGTGACAGGTGGTCAGAACCTTCTTGGGGGGGGAGGGGGGGTATTTCCATCCCTACTTAATAATTATGACCCATGAACCTTTCAGGTAAGGGCGCCTAAGCCCGACACCCGTAACCCTAAGCCCTGGAAACCCCAAACACTTTCAAACCCTTAACCTGAACCCTCCTAAGCCCTAAACCCTAAACCTTTTAAACCCTATTATAAACCCTAAGCCCTATAAACCCTAAACCCTATACCCTATAAACCCTAAACCAGGTAGACCCTAAATCCCCGGCAGGCTGTGCGCGAAGTGCTGGGCCCAAGCTGGAATGCAGAGGCCATTGTTTAGTGCTTCTTGTCGGGTTAGGGTTTAGGGTTTAGGGTTTAGGGCTTAGGGTTTAGGGTTTTTAGGGTTTAGGGTTTAAAGCACTAACCTCCAATACCGCGAAGCCCTTGTCCACTTCCCGAAGACCCTCAACTCTATGATTTGAAGCCCCTAGCCCCCCAAACCCCTTTACACCCTAAACCCTGTTAAACCCTAAACCCTCTAGACTCTGCACCCTCTAAAGCCTCTAAGCCCCAAACCCTGTAAACCCTACACCCTCTAAACCCTCTAAACCCTCTAGACTCCAAACCCTGTCAACCCTAAACCCTCTACACCTCTAAGCCCTGAATCCCAGTCCCCCTAAGCCCTAAACCCTAAACCCTAAACCCAAACCCAAAACCCTTGTAGGAGTTGCTGGCTCGATCGGTGGTGAAAGATGGGACCGGCTTGGCTCACGCAGACTCTCGGAGTTTTAGAAAGCTGACATGTGCAGGCAGGGTTTTTTTCGCTTGGAGATTAGGGCTCAGGTTTTAGGTATTTCAGGGTTTCGGGTTTGAGGTGGTTGGGGTTTAGGGATTTGAGGTGGTTGGGGTTTAGGGACTGAGGAGTTGGCGTAGGGTTTTTAGGGCTGGGTGGCTTGACTTGAGGTGTGTAGGGTTTAGGGTTTGAGCCTTTTTGTTGAGGCTTTTTGAGGTGCTTAGGGTTTAGGGTTTAGGGTTCAGCAATGGTTTTGAGTAGCATGAGCTACTCGCACGCTGCTTCAGATTTTGTTCAGGCTTCCTTGTCCACCCGCTGTAGCTGAGTTTGCATACTTGGTTCTTGAATCCCCCTACAAATCAGGGTTTGGGGTTTTGGACTTAGGTTGCAAGCTCAAACCCTAGTTCAACCCGAAACCCTAAACCCTCAAGCCTCAACCCTGAACCCTAAACCCCAAACCCTAAACCCCAAACCCTAAACCCTCAAGCCTCAACCCTCAACCCTGAACCCTAAACCCCAGACCCTAAGCCGGCAGCTCCAAGGAAAAGCACGAGGTGCAGAATCAGGCTCTTGCGCAGCTCATGGTGAGCGCCGCCGCCCGAGCGATTTTGGGGTTTTGGGGGCTTTGGGATTAGGGTTTCGGGTTTAGGGGTTTAGGGTTTGGGGCTTCTGGGCTTGGGGCTTTAGGGCTGTTTTTTTTTTTTTTTTTTTTGGGGGGGGGGGGGGGGGTTAGGGCTTTTGTTTTTTTTTGGGAGGGTCTGGGGTGTAGGGGTTCAGGATTGTAGGCTTTTGGGCGTTTTGGGGCTAGGGTCTGAAGAAATATTCGTAGTCGCTAGGCTGGTAACCCTTGAGTCTTCGGGTATTTCGAGGCCTCGGTAACTCCCAGAAGTCAACCTTTGCCCCCCCTAGCAGCCTCAGCCAACAAGGTTTAGGGTTTAGGGTTTAGGGTTTAGGGTTTAGGGTTTAGGGTTTAGGGTTTAGGGTTTAGGGTTTAGGGTTTCCGCTGCCTACTAATTGGCTTCATGCTCTCTGTCTCTCTCCCTTCATGGCTATTGCTTCGGCTCATTGTCTATTGCACTTTTGCTAGGAGGCTCGTGGTAGGTGTATAATTAGAGTTCTCCTACTGATAACCCTACTTATAACGAATCATGAATCATGAACCTCGAAGAGTGCCCTTTCACCTTCAGACCCACGAATCACAGCACCCATGGAATGCTGGTGTTTGAGTTTAGGGTTTAGGGTTTTGGGTTTGGGTTTAGGGTTTAGGGTTTAGTGTTTAGTCAAGCTATCAGGCATGAGCACTATTGCCTGAGTTTCTGTGAGGGTCTTCTGCAGCCCAAGTTGATGCAGTCCCCTCACTTAGCACGAGAATGTACGTGCACGTGTACCAGGGTTTAGGGTTTAGGGTTTAGGGTTTAGGGTTTAGGGTTTAGGGTTTAGGGTTCAGGGTTCAGGGTTCAGGGTTCAGGTTTCAATTCAAGACCGATCTCCTAGGAGCCAGGAGGGACATGAGCGAAGACAATGACCCCACACTGGAAGAGTCCGGGCATGTAGCCTCACACTCCGGAAGTACAGGCAAGCGAGCCTTCAGAATTTGCGGTCTGGGAGGCTACGCAGTTCAGGTGGATGTAGACCCTATGACCATGGGCTGGGAAGTCGTGGAAGCGGTAGCAGCCCAAGTCGGCCGCCCCGCGGAGTCCCTTCTGCTGACCTCGGGCGGCAGTGTGCTCAATCTACGTGGGTCCCTGCTGGAACAGGTGACGAACAGCGAAGTCACGTACGTGGCTCAACGCTTCGGTGCGGGTCGGGCCGCGGTGGGCTTGGAAAAAGCTCTTGCGAAGAAAGCCTTCACTCCTGCGGATGCGTGCGCTCTCAATGAAGTCGCCTCCTTGACTTTTGGCTTGGACTTCAACCAGAGCTTGGAGGGGATCCAGCTGCCCAGCACCCTGCAGACATTGACGTTTGGCTACGAGTTCAACCAGAGTTTGGATGGGGTGCAGCTGCCCAGCACTCTGCAGACGTTGACGTTTGGCTACAAGTTCAACCAGAGTTTGGAGGGGGTTCAGCTCCCCAGCACCGTGCAGACGTTGACGTTTGGGTACAGCTTCAACCAGAGTTTGGAGGGGATCCAGCTGCCCAGCTCCCTGCAGACGTTGACGTTTGACTACCAGTTCAACCAGAGTTTGGCAGGGATCCAGTTGCCCTGCGCGCTGCAGACGTTGACGTTTGGCCACAAGTATAACCAAAGCTTGGAGGGGATCCAGCTGCCCAGCACCTTGCAAACGTTGACGTTTGGTTGGGACTTCAACCAGAGTTTGGAGGGGATCCAGCTGCCCAGCACGTTGCAGACGTTGACGTTTGGCTACGAGTTCAACCAGAGTTTGGATGGGATCCAGCTGCCCAGCACCCTGCAGACGTTGACGTTTGGCGGCCACTTCAGTCAGAGCTTGGAGGGGATCCATTTGCCCAGCACCCTGCAGAATTTGACGTTTGGATACGGCCTCAAACAGATCTTGAACGGGATCCAGCTGCCCAGCACCCTGCAGACGTTGACGTGTGGTTGGGACTTCAACCAGAGCTTGGAGGGGATCGAGCTGCCCGGCACCCTGCAGGCGTTGACGTTTGGCTACAAGTTCAACCAGAGTTTGGAGGGGATCCAGCTACCCAGCACCCTGCAGACATTGACATTTGGAGCTGGTTTCAACCAGAGCCTGCATGGGATCCTGTTCCCCAGCACCCTACGGACGTTGACGTTCGGCCACAAGTTCAACAAGAGTTTGGAGGGGATCCAGCTGCCCAGCACCCTGCGGACGTTGACATTTGGGTACGGCTTTAACCAGAGTTTGGAGGGGATCCAGCTGCCCAGCACCCTGCGGACGTTGACATTTGGGTACGACTTTAACCAGAGCTTGGCGGGGATCCAGCTGCCCAGCTCCCTGCAGACACTGACGTTTGGCTACCAGTTCAACCAGAGTTTGGAGGGGATCCAGTTGCCCTGCACCCTGAAGACGTTGACGTTTGGGTACAGCTTCAACCAGAGTTTGGAGGGGATCCAGTTGCCCTGCACTCTGCAGACATTGATGTTTGGCCACATGTTCAACCAGAGTTTGGAGGGGATCCAGCTGCCTAGCACCCTGCAGACCTTTGGCGGCCACTTGAACCAGAGTTTGGCCGGGATCCAGTTGCCCTGCGCCCTGCAGACGTTGACCTTTGGCCACACGTATGACCAAAGCTTGGAGGGGATCCAGCTGCCCAGCACCTTGCAGACGTTGACGTTTGGTTGGACCTTCAACCAGAGCTTGGAGGGGATCCAGCTGCCCAGCACGTTGCAGACGTTGGCGTTCGGCTACAAGTTCAACCAGAGTTTGGATGGGATCCAGCTGCCCAACACCTTGCAGACGTTGTCGTTTGGTCGGAGCTTCAACCAGAGCTTGGACGGGGTCCAGCTCCCCAACAGCTTGCAGAGTGTTCAATTTCCGTCGTTTTGTGTTGCCACCTCGATGAGCACAGAAGAGGCACAAGGCAAAAAGGACGCCTGGATGACCATCAAAGCCTGAACCCCCTATATTCCCACACCTCGAACCTTACACTCAAACCCCAGCCTAATTCCTGAAATTATACCCCATAGTGCCTGCATATACCCATTCTTCCATCCTTATACAAGGTGCGCACCTGAGTTTTCTTTTCCTGAATCGGTATAATTGGGTGACAGGTGCAGTTATGGTTGGGACGGTTATTCAGTACCGCGAACCTCCAAAGTAAGCACTAGTTCAAGGGTTTAGGGTTCTGGGTCGGTAGGGGTCCCTAGTTTAGGGCTAAGGGTTTAGGGTTATTCCGTGCGATAGCAACCCCAAACCCGAAACCCTAAAGCCTAAAGCCTAAACCCTAAACCGTTTTTTGAAGTGCGGAGGCGCCTCTCCCTTGAATCTCCGGTGCACCCTTCCTTCCCCTTACCCAAAGGGCCGCAGATCCCTTAGTTTGGGACTTCTACTTTGGGATGTTCACCCTCATACTAACAGTGCCTACTAGGGATACTAATACTTGGGCTGGGGGAACTATAATCCCTATTAACTTTGTGGCGCTTTACTGTAACTTTAGATCCTTAGCCTTTTTGGGTTCATTGGGTTTCTTAATAAGGCAGCTAGAATTTTAGTTTTTAGCGGACTGTTAGTATGCGGGGGAACATCCCAAAGTATCCCTGAATTAATTACTAGGGGTCCTGGCTCTGATTCAAGGCAATGCTCCTGAATTGCGGGGTTTAGGGTTTAGGGTTTAGGGTTTAGGGTTTAGGGGCTCTTTGGGTATTTAATAGGAGATAGCAGAAGACCTACAATCCTCAACCGAAACCAATAGACACCGGTGCTAAAGGTTTGTGTGGGGCAGGTCCCCTTTCCATTCCTAGATTCTTGGGGAACCTTAAACCGTAAACCTGAAGCCCTAAAATCACTAAAGTCCCAAAACCCTAAACCCTAAATCGCTGAAACCCTAAAACCTCAACCCTAAACCCTGAACCCTGAACCCTGAGACCCCAACACAACCCTAACACCACCCTAACACAACCCTAAACCCTGAACCCTGAAACCATAACACAACCCTAACACCCTAAACTGGCTTTGGGAACCTGCTGTGCTGTTTTTTGTAGGGTCCAGGGCCCCAGTGTCCCGACGCAATTGTCATGGGCTTCCCTACTACCCCCCTCTATACAAGGCCCCCCCCCCCCCCCCCCCTACTTAAAGGATCAGGGAACTTAGTAAGTGGGGTTATAAGTAAGGTAGTAAAACCCTAAACCCTAAACCCTAAACCCCAAACCCCAAACCCCAAACCCCAAACCCTAAACCCTAAACCCTAAACCCTAAACCCTAGTCTAGGTTGGTTCCACGCTGCCCCAGTTGCCCGTAAAAAAGCAAAAACTTGCCCCCCAGACCCTGTACGCCCTACTTGGAGGTTAGGGTTTAGGGTTTAGGGTTTAGGGTTCATGGTACTTATAACTCAATTAGAACCATATTAGGGCACTTACAGAGCTTATACGTGGGTTGTGTTCCGTTATAATTGGGATATAAGTACCACGAAAATTCAAGTAGCCAGTCCCTACCCAAACCTAAGCCCCTATAACCCTCAACCTTCTCGCCCAGGCAGGCCTAGTGAGCAAAGCCTCTGCTGGAGAGGCTGGCAAACCCTAAACCCTGCAAACCCTACAAACCTCATACACCCTATAAACTCTATAAATCCTATACATCCTATAAACCCTATAAACCCTATAAACCCTATAAACCCTATAAACTCTATAAACCCTACAGGGCTTGGGGCTCTTGGTGTGGTTGGGATTTTTGGGGCTGGTGGGCTTTCAGGTTTCTTTTGGTGGGTTTGGGGCCTTTGGGCGGTTTAGGGCTTTCAGGGGCTCGGAGCCTGGGGGTTGTTTAGTCGGCGTGCAGCGTGCGACTTAGGGCTACGGGCGAGCCTGGTACGGTCGGGGCGCCAGGGCTCCGGGTTGAGATGTTCTGGAGAACTCCCCAACCTGAAAAGACCCCAAACCTTGACCCTAAACCCCAAACCCACAAAACGATCCTCGGACCCCAGCAGGCTTAGGGTGTTCAGGGTTCACAAGGGAGCCAAGGGGTCAAACTGGTACCAGCCAGGTTGCAAGTTGGGGTGCAAACTGGCGAAAGAGGGAGTGAAACAAAGTCGTTTTGCTTGGGCCAAACGAGGGCTCAAGAGGGTTTAATCAGGTTTGGGGTTCGGCAAAAAGGCCCATCCGCTTCCGCCAAAGCCGCAAACCCTGAACCCTACCGTCCTGATGGTTTGGAAGTAGGGTTAACACCCGAACCCTAAACCCTAAACCCTAAACCCTAAACTCTGAACCCTAAACCCTAAACCCTAAACCCTAAACCCTAAACCCTAAACCCTAAACCCTAAACCCTAAACCCTAAACCCTAAGGCAGTGCTTGTGGAGTTCGGCTCGGGCAAGGGCGGCCTGGCGGCCGCTGCACTGGAGCAGCTTTGCTTAAGGGCACGTGGGTTTAGGGTTTAGGGTTTAGGGTTTAGGGTTTAGGGTTTAGGGTTTAGGGTTTAGGGTTTAGGGTTTAGGGTTCAGGGTTCAGGTCTTAACGAGGGTGCAAGTGCGGGAAAGTGGCCCGCGAGTCGCGAGTGTTATGACACCATGCGGTGGCAGGAATTGAAGGTGTGGTCTTTCAAGAAGATTCTATAGGGTTGTTAAGGGAGGGGGGTTCAACGGGAGGGTAGGTACCTAGGGAACCCTGGGGAACCCTAGGGAACCTTAGGGAACCTTAGGGTTCCCTAAGGGAGCCTTAGGGAACCTTAGGGAACCTTAGGGAACCTTAGGGAACCTTAGGGAACCTTAGGTAACCTTAGGTAACCTTAGGGAGCCTTATGCTACATACCTCCCTTGAACCCCCTCCATAAAAGATCCTGGTGCGGGCCATGGACTGCGCTAGAACAGTTGCTGGTTGAGGGTGCAGCGTCTTACTTGGAGGTTCATTGTACTTAGAGCCCAGTTATAGCTGTACCTATGACCCACTTATAATATAATCCCTTTAAGTGCCCTAATATGGTTATGATTGGGGCATAAGTGCAGTTTACAATTTTCTACAACTGATACAACATTCGTGTGTTAAATCATTTTTTGCATGGAACTAACCCAAAACAATAGTTGTAAGATGATTGAGTATTGCAACTTGATTTCTTGATACTTCGATTGTAAATATAATTCTATTTGTCCTTTATCCAATCATGGTGACATGGTATGTTTAGCAAATGTGATATTCGTTTTAATATTGATTTTAAATGGACTACTTTCTAATTCAAATTTCTACAACCAATGTACCGTAATTGTGGAACATTTTGATCTTCAGTTTTTACATGATCATCATCTTTCCTTTTTTTAAACGACGTTTTAATGCCCGGTTCTTTTGAATGAACATCTACACCGAGTACACATATATTCATGAATAGTTGAGGTTTTCTTTCTTTTGTACAAGTTTGATGCCGAAGAATTACGGTAATAATCTATTACGTCTTTTTACATTATACTCTTATCGTTTTTTTGCATTGTTATTTATAGCGCAAAAACCTATTACAGGTGCTCTGCAATGAACCTGAATTAACAACAATTAGTCTCATGTCTCTACTAATTTTCAGACACAGTGTGTAAAACCCAGCCATCTATTGAAGAACAAGACACAGCAGTAGACACCTGGAGTTTCACGATTTTAGTTTCGTTCCAAAATCGTTTTTTTGGCATCTTTCTCACATTTGCGAGAATGCGTGTCAAGAATGATGTGAGCTCCGCTTCAGCAACAGGATCAACTTTATCATCGCCTTGATTGCTCCGGCTTTAGCTGGATTTCTGAAAATATTTTCCAGAGGATCCTCATCCGTATCCTCTTCCTAGTGTTCGGAAAATAGTCGGAACTGTTATTTTAGGGTCTGACGCTACATTCTGCGAACATACGTCATTGAAGGCAATTTTTGGTGCTGCCTGCTTTGACGAAGAGACAACACTTGAAAATAATTAAGCTGGACATATTGCTATACACATGGAGTGTTTAGTCTTTATTCTATGTCCAGTGAGCTAAAACCGCTACGAAAAATGTATATAAACCAAAGGAAATGATATGATGAAGAGTTAGTTTAGAAATATAATATATATATATATATGTATATATATATATATATATCAAACATAAAGTATTGAACGGTGCCAAAAGAGAAGCAAAGAAGATGCTTGACATGTACAACTACGGGTTGGAAAGCTCAATCTACTTTCACGAAAGAAAGAAGATGATACTCGTGGGATTTGCAACCTTACGAATTACCAACCTGTGGAATACTCGAAGGAAAAACCTTCGCGACTAAATGTACCCGTGAGTGTTGCAGCATCATCCAAGAAGAAGGGTTCGCGATCTTCTGAACTGGCAAGTGACGATGAGGTTCTCACAACATGATGAGAAACGAGTAGCGTAGTGTCACGTCATAGGTGATATTTTACACTGGCAAAACAGCAATTTTAATTCATAAGTTGCTTTTGCAATGCAGAAAATGGAAACATCTAGCATGGGGTTTTCCATTCAGTTTCATTTTTACCATAGCCGTTTTGGCTCAAGACGTCTGAAGCATCTTTGATACGTCAAGGACAGCAAACTTTCGGATACGATGGCAACAGAGGCTCCAAAAGACCAGTTGCCCTACATGTGCTCCGAGAGGTCGTGCGAAGGTCGTAGCCGCTCAAGTCAGGATGCAAAACATTCCCTAAAGAGGAGTTCAGAAGAGCATGTTGCACTGTCGTTTTTGGCTCTAGTTGACTGACTCTTAGTCATTGTCACTCGCACACACACACACACACACAGAGTAAGTCACTCGCGCACACACGCGCACGGTAAGTTTAGGGCCCAGGGTTGCTCTGGCTAATTCGTTTCTATTTTTTAATGCCTGCCCCTGGGGTGCATCGCGGCCATACTCCAGTATAACACCATCACTGAAAAGATGTGAGGTTGGATATTTCAGAACTTGTTGCAAAGAGTCTATGGAGACACGCAGCAAA